ATCTTGCGCTCTTATCCTTATAAATATGTGGCATTCTTTCCAAGTGTTATAGCCATATATAAATAAAATAAGAAAAATGATTATTAAAAAAAAAATCGTTATAGAAGCTTCCCCTATTTGTTCTTCTATTTCATGTTCCGGTCTTATGACTTCAGACTATTTACTAGGTATATCTATTGAAAATGTTATTGATTTTACAATTATAGATAAATAATTACTTAGATGCTAATTATTGATGAAAATATTGATGAAAATAGATCGAATAGAGTTATTTTAATTTAATTTAAATCATAAACAATTTAAACGTCAATTCGATATTTAATGTTAAAATTAATGCTCTAATTGTGAAAAATAATTTTTACTAACAATTAATTTCCTTCTTTAATTGGACGGCTTTAGGAGTTCAAGCTAGAATAATCTACTCATTGAGATTTTGTTAGAATAATCACAGAACATACAAAAGATTCAATAATTGACACTCAGGTAAAAACTTTAGATTATAAAATACAATTTATAACAATATTTATATTGAAATAAGAATTATATTGGAAAAACAAACCAACGACTATACTGACTTGAAGTATTGGATACAAGTTGAATATGGATTTTAATTGTCAATTTAAATTAATAGACTTTAATTATCATAAAATAAGTATTGTAAGCTACTAGTACCTGATATAAAACTGATCTGTGATTAATTAAATTGAAATTAGTTTTAGCTACTAACTAAAATAATTAAAAAATTGATTTCTGCTAATTTATAGTACTTTTGTGATCTATCACTTATTATGATAATTTTATTTCAATATTAATGGAGCATTATTAGAAATTATAATTGTCTTTTAGCATTGTTGTTAGTAATTATGACTAAGCACAATATAAAGTAGTCATAATTTTATAGCTATTGGGCAGTTTTTATTTTAATACCACTTTATAGTACATGCAATAAATAATAAACAAAATTTTTTATAAAAAATTCAATTGCACATAAAAAATTAGATATTTCAAATTAATATGCACAGTGATGTAAATTTATTATTTGAATTTTAAATATATATTTTATATCTATATAGAATTCTATATAGAATTAATTCTAAATAAATAATTCTATATAGAAATATTTGGGTATAACTGACTTAACGAATAAAAATAAATTTTTATAATAATGGTATTTATGATATCTTAATTAGTTTATAAACTGTGAATTACTGCATATTTAAATAAGCGATTCTATACGCACAAATATGAGCATGACTACAAGTTTCTTATGCACATATCTACAGATATGTATAGGCGAACGTATGTGTCGTCACACAAAATGTAACAATCGACTTTGCGAGCTCTCGAGTGATAAAATACATTGTTACGTTGGATGCAAAGAAAAGATATTACTTTTTATTTACAATAAAGTATAGAGTATTAATGCATTAATAGTTCTGAGCTTTTAAGACAATGTATTAATTTAAATAACAAAATCAGATAAAATATTTATACAAGTTTTATTTTATTTCAAGTGCACAACAATTTTCATCAAAGCCTTTAGCTACATTTTATACATTTACTTTTTTAAAAAGCTTTATTATAAGAACTATAGAATTGCTTGCGCATAGAATAATTATTTAGAAAAGTACTTGAATTTCGAAATACTATACAGTGCTACCGCAATTTCAAGCTGTAAAATATCCTGCTGACAGATTGTTACAACAGTGAGCTAAAAAAGCGCAGAGATTATGTCCTTGAGGAAATGGGGTCTGTGAAAAAAGCTGACAGTGGAAACTTGTCAATGTCTTGAGGGCCCCGTACCTTCTTTGAACACAAAGTTAATAACGCGTATTTACGCATTGCCGTGTTTAATTGCCCGCGCCGCTATTAAATCTACCAAGAGGGAGGCATAAATGTATACGCAATTTCCTGAATGCTCCATACTCCTTGACAATTTCTGCGATATGCTTGTGTAAAATCAAGGTGCTTAGACGACAGACTTTATACATTGCGAAACCGAAAAGTTCTAAAGCTAAATTTTTTTTCTTTACTTCCTCTACTGTTCTGACAAGGTATTGTATTTTATTTTCTATTCTGCTTCTAAATAGAAATAAAAAATTTAATTCGTACATTTAATTAATTTTTAATATTAATTTAATCAATGTTTTACATTTCGATTTTAATATTTATTCAATGAGGTTATAGGTTTCATTTTCTTCCTTTATAATATGCATACGTTGTATCAATTCTAACTTAATGTAGTTTTATTAATTAAATTGTTAAATAAATAGCAATACCAAATGAATACTAACAAGAGTTCAAAAATCAATACGTCAGAAACATAATGAACAGGCAAATGCAATTTAATATTTATTCGTCAAATTTTCATATAAAACAACTAATCGTTTATCAACTACAAGTTCTTATTTTCAAAATAAGAGAAACGCTTCAATGTTTGTTGCTCTTTTGTTAGATCTCCGCAGCTTGGACCGTATCACGCCAAGCATTTTGGCATGCTAACAAATTTATGATGCAGCAAGAGTCAACAATATCATTAAATCGTATATCTTATCATTAAACGCTGTGTTTATTGTTTAATGTACCCATTATTATGTTACAAACATTATCAGTACAACTACCAGCTAGTAGAAGGCAGCTAAATACCTTGTAATATATAGAACATATTTATAAGAATTTGAATACAACTTAAATGTACATTTTTCAGATTTAATAAAGTCAATTGCTATATATATATATATATATATATATATATATATATATTTTTGTTGAACAAATAGCTATGTGTTCATTTTTCTATTTTATTTTTCGTTGCAATTAAACTTAGTTATTATATTAATCTTAAGTCAATGATGTTGAATCTAATAACATTTCATTATATTATTAGTTTAATATCTGACATTAATTGGAATAATGTATCAGAAATACGAACTATTACGTTAGATAACTCACAATAAAACTAAATATTGACAATTTATTCTTACTGTACATATTTTAAAATTTAATAATAGTTAAAAAATAATTAAATTATAATAATTTTTTTTAATATACATATTTTTAAATTAAATTAAAATAGATTTTAAATTAAAGACTTATAAAGAACTCAGAAGTTCTATGCATCACCAATACCGTAAAGTTTGGACATTCCAGAAATGAAACCAATGTGGTTAGTCATTGGTAACTTCTGCTTGTATTATTGCATTCCAAAGATCTCACTGTTCATTAAACTGATTTACAATTATGGTTTGAACAGGTGAAACGTTTACTTAAACATGCAATTATAACTATACAAATGGTCATAACAAATCAAGTATTGACACTACTTAATACTGCAGTAATATTTTACTAAGGATGCCAAGTTCAAAATTTTCATCTTCTTGTAATATTTACTGCAGTTCTATCGATATTCAGCTTACGACAGAGTATTTAAAGATTGATAAGCTTACTTGATATCAACAATAATGATTAAAATCAAATAATTACTATTTTCAAGAATTTATATGAGCAATTTTAAAAAGTAAGGATAGATAAAAAAAATGAAGAATGTCAAACAGAAAACTCTATATAAATCATAATGAAGAGTTGTTCTTAGATAAAATCAACAATGTGTTAAATGTTGATTTGAAAAAGTGCTATTTTATCAATGCAAAACATGACTGTATAAAATAAATATGTAAATATTTTACACTCTTTAGTATGCATTAAGATAAGCACGATTTAGTATTCAATATCGAACCATGTGTTTTTAGAATGTTTACAAAAAGTAATATAGTTATGCGATAATAGTTTTTGTTAGAATTATCTCAACATGCAAAACAAAAAGATAGTGTGTTTCTGTGGCGTTAAGCGTTAAGTTTAAGCGTTTAGAATGGAATGTGAAACTATTGTCTACAATTTCTTAAACCCTCTAAGTGATAAACTCCTTGCGCCATCTCTTAGAGAAATATTAATATATTGCTATATAAATGTGGTGCAACGATTACAATTAGTAATTCAAACATAAAATAGGAGAGTTTACTATATTATTTAAACAATCAAATATATTATTATAAATTTGTTCACACAATATCATATGTTATTTTTGCCTATTGTAAAATATTATAAACATTATTAAATAAATTAAGTCAAAAATATAATTAGAACCGCAAATATATATAAAAAATTCTGAATACAAATTTATAATAAATATTTAATTAGTAAACTATGAAATATTGTGTAGAAAATAAAAATACTATTGATGGCTAAATTAGTTTAATAATCAATATATTCAAAGATAAATATTTATATTTTAAAATATTAATAACATATATGAAAAAAATGATAGATTGCAATATTCTTCATTATTTTTACTTGAAAATTAACATTTTTATATTATTCTCGTTATATTAATATGATCAAAATTATAATTGAATTTCGCGCGGTACATTACCAGTTATCTGCACGATATGAAGGTTATGTCAATGCATTCTTAATACGTGAAAATGCAACTTTGCCTTGTATTGCGAAAGTTGGCGGTATAGCTAAAATTCAACTGAGTACACACACACAGATCTATATATTATATATATATATATATATATATATATATATATATATATATATTTATATATACATATATAATAAGAAATGATCCGTAAAATTAAATATACAAATATGAAGATATTAAAAAATATTATGGAGAAGATAACTCATTAAATTACGTAGCATTAACCTTACTTCCGTGATGCAAAAATATGGTGACAAATATTTTGATCCCTTTTTAAAAGACCTATGATAATACAATAACAGTGATTTTTTGCTTTTGTTTAATCTTATTTAACCAAAGTTTTAAAGATTGTTGCTTATTATCTTTTTAAAATGCTTAAGTATATACATATTTTTTATTATCTACTAAAGAAAATGTGAAAATTATGTTTGAGAAAATAACCTCCATGTCTAAGCATTTATTTTACTTAAAATGTAAAAGATACTTTCTTTAAAGCATTACTTTATGTATTATACTGGTTCGTTTACTGTGATATGTAACAAGCAAAATGATTAAATTTATTAAATTCTATTTCGTTTTACTACTGTTTTTTGTTCCAATAAGTAATGGAGCAGAATATACTTATGAAATTGATTGTAACAATCTGAGAATGGGACAGTATATTTGTCCCCATCCCGATTATGATTTTATTGATCCTAAAACTCAACAACCTAAAGGATGTACAAAAGATAATAAAGCTAAAGGTAAAATTATCAATTAATTAAAGTTTATTGATTAAAAGTATAACACATAATCATTTAATTATAATTTATTAGATTAAAAATTTAATTAAGTTTTAATACAATAAATATATATTCATTTAGAATGAAGTTAAATATATATATTATTTTACATAATTGATGAATTTATTTCTTAATATATTTGAGTTCTTTGATTATTTAATGTAGTTTTAAAATAAATTAGAAATATTTATTTTTTATATAATTTAAATATCCTTTTAATAATATATTAATAAAGTAATAATTTAATCCTCTAGTAATATGTCAAACAGCTGATGGACTTATATGCAGTGAAACAAAAAACAATACTTTTAAAAAAGATATTCCTTGTAAGTGGACGTAAGTATAATTTTTTAATGTAAATAAGTGTATAGTTTGAATAACATCTATTTCAATGCCTAAATTAAATCTAATTTTTTTATAGCAATGGATATTCTTTTGAAACGTCACTTTTGCTCTCTATATTCTTAGGAATGTTTGGTGCTGACAGATTTTATCTAGGCTATCCTGCTTTGGGCTTATTAAAATTAAGTACATTAGGTTTTCTTTTCCTGGGACAGTTTTGTGATGTGATATTAATAGCTACACAAATTGTTGGGCCAGCTGATGGTTCACATTATGTTATGCCATACTACGGAGCAGGAGTATCGATAATAAAAAGTGATAATTTTACTTATAGAGTACCTCAGTATGATTGGTAACAGTTAATTTATGGACATAGATTTTTGTATACGTTATTTATTATTGTATTTCTTAAATAAATATGAGTATTTATTTAAGAAACTACAGTGATAATTATTAACATTTATTATGATTAGTTAGTCGAAAGTATCAGAAAAAATTTTTTAATTGTTTTTAACATATAAAATTGGTTTAATTCTTTTTATAATTTAAAGAATTATACAATTTCAATTACGAAATTGTAAAGATATGGGTGATTTATTATTCCACTTATATTACATGTTATTTAAAGATTGCAGAGTTACAAAATGATGTTATTTCAATTCAAAAATATGTAAATAGTAAATAAAATAATAAGTGCATATACGCATTTACGATTGAATAAGTACATTACTCTGAAAAAATTATTTTACGTTTGTATTAATTTAAACACCTATCTTTCCATTTTTAAACATTTATCTTTTTGGTCTTGACTTAAGGAAAAAGGTCTTCTTCAATATTTAGTGTGCTATATATATATTAAATTCTAGAAAATATGTAACCTATAGTTTTAGAATTTCTACTTTGTATAACTTGAAATCATGAATTATTATTAACAAATTTTTTTACTCATGTTACTGTGTTACTCAATAGCTCAATATGAAAAAATATATTTTATTTCCATAATAAGTTAATACTAATCATATTTGCAAATATATAAAGATGAAACGATTTGTGTGCATAGTCATATATATAGAAATATCATGCATTTTAATTAAATTCAACAAATCATATTTGAATTATAAATATTTTACAATTTTGTAATTCCATTATAATTTTATTCTTTATTGTTTTTTTTTGTTATTGATATTAATTATTTATTACTGATATTATTTTACTCTTGTTCTTTAGATCAATTTTTAATAAATTGATGTTTGGAACAAATAGTTGATGGAAAAAAAAAATTAATTTAAAGAAATTTAATAACTGAATAATAATTTAATAAATCAGAAAGTAATTTTCAAAGATTTTTAATATTAATCATTTATTGTTTAATTTTTTTTAAATATATTTGCTAGCACACAATAATTTTACTTCTTTTAAATGAAATGTACAAAAATTTCTTGTAGACGTTTAACGTTTTATTTCATTTCTTTACTCCAGTTCAATTTCGATTTATAAATTAAATCAAATATTTTTGAAACATATTCTTATATAATTCATTGACTAATTTAATTTTAATCAATAAAAATCAAGAAGTGTAATTTTTATGCATATTTATTGTTCTTAATTAATTATATATGAATAATAAAATAAAACGCTTTAAATTACCTTTAGCAGAAATGTGAAAATAAAGATATTAAATTCTTTTCAGTTTTAGTTAATATTCTAATATACATAAATTTAATTAATCAATCATATTTTGTACAGGAATTTTAACAATTTAAATAAATAATTTCATTTTACATAAATAATTATAGTCTTATTTTATGAATCTAGACAGTAACATTATACCTTTTTTACTTGTAAATTAAATTATATCCAACTTAATATATTCTATACGTAAACTTATATGATACTTATATATAAGATAAAAGAAATTTAACATTTATTAAATATATATTAGATTGAAAATGGTTCCAATTTAGATATTTAAAATATCAGATATATTTAATCTATATTTATGAATATACTTTTTTATAATCAACTAAATCATTTCTTATTAAAAATATTATTATATATATTTTTCGTAACAAATAAACTGTTGCAAAATTTAATTTCTAAATGGATGGTAGATTAACTATAACAGCAAACACAGAATGAAATATAATATATCATGATATAACTAAAAATGTATTTGTCAACTTTAATTTGAAAACATAATTTAAAAATAATTATTCATCGTATTAAGTATAATAAATGTATCTATTGTTCTAAACAGTATGTTGTATATTAAAATATGGGAATATATCTAAATAAACACTACATCAAAAAAACTTGTTTTCAAAGTAATGTGTTGTTTATTAATCACCATCATTCATTATAATATTAGTATATTGATAATAATTTGTCATATTAAACCAATTGTATTCTAATATTTTAAAATGAACATTATAATAGAGATAGAAAGACTAAAATAACAAAAAAATCAATCAATCTTATATAAACGCTGGATAACATAGATATTGATGATTTTGAAGTATCCAATTTGTTTCCTATCAGATTTTAATATGAAAGTAATAATTGAATAATTATATATTAATATTTATTCATATATAGACTTTTCAATTTTTATTTTAATTAAAAAATGTAAAGAAAATTTACTAGGTATGTAAAAGATTGATATATGTGCCCAAGAAAATTTTCTGGATATTGATTTTTATTTACATAAATTGATGATTGGCATTAAAAATGATTATGAAAATAAGATGCCGAAATTATCCGTTCTGATTAACCTATGTTCGCTTTTCTTGACTCGAGTGTTTCGTATCCCTATGAAGGAGCAAGCATACCGCGTACGAGAAATAGTTGAAAATAGATAAGAGCGAGCTTCGGCTTTGTTTAGTGTAAAAAATGGCTTCCATCTCATTAAATAAAGGCACACGTAAAACTTATAGTTTCGAGGAAAGAGAGATTTTGGTAAATTTAATTTATAAGTACTTAAATGGTAACGATGAAGATAAAAATTCAGAAACAGGATCGAACTCAAAACGGAAATCCGTATGGTTCCAATTGACAGAGGAATATAATACACTCGTAGGACCGAGTAATTCCAGGTCATCGATTCAGTTAAGACGATGTTGGGAAAATATGAAAGCCAATAAAAAGAATCGCGATGATAAACGGTATTTTGCATCTAATTTTCATTCAATAAATATTACGATAATATATTTTTTTACTTCACATGAACTCTACTCTTACATTTAATTATTATTGTAATACTTTTCAGTGTAAGTGAAAAAGTTATGAATGAAAAATTACAACCAACTCCATCGAGTTCTATAGGTCTTCCACCAAACGTTGTTTTTCAACCAAAGGATTCTGAACCATTCACATTGGAAGGACTAATACCTCCAACATTTCAAACTCATAACATAAAGAAAGATGAAGGTACGTCTTATGATTCCTTTTATTTATATTAATAAAAATAACAATGCAGTAAAATACATACATTTAATAAAGTGTAGTGTTAAAATGATTAACACTAGGTAAACATATTTCTAGAATTAAATGGAGATTTGGAAGAAGAAAAGATCAATGATCACGAATCAGTATCAGTACATGAATTGTCTTTTGATGTGGATGATGTACCTCCAAAAAAAATGAAAAGAAAAACCATATCTCCTAAAAAACAAATAAAACAAAAGATACAAAAATCTAATAAAATACAAAAAAATAGCGAACTATATGAATTTGCAATTTCAGAGGCCCAATTAAAGTTAGATACCGCGTCATTATTGAAGGAAGAGGCTAAACTTAAACTTGAAGAAGCAGAATATAGAAAAGAAGAAGCTAGAATGCGTATGATTTGTATTACTTATAAATTACAAAAATTAAGGGAAGAATGTGAAGACGTGTTGAAGGAAGAAGAGGAAAAATAAGAACATTCGCTCAAATATTTGTAATATTTGATATAACAGAATATTGCTAAGTTAGTTCAACAAACTAGTAATACTTATGAGAAATAATATTATTAGTAAAAAATGTCGGAAGTATATTTTATAGTTACTAAATATTTAATTTTACTCTAAATTACATTAATTTTATTATATAATATAATTGTTTACAATTTACAAATGCAATTGGTAGTTTTACGATTGTTATACCGACCTACGTTCATCGTTTAATATTACTATAATAATAACTTAATTATATGTCATTCAATCATTAAATGCAATATCCTTTGAATACATTTTTTTCTAATTCACTACAATTCATTATTATTATTCTAATGAATTATATACCATTGAAATTTTATAAAGATCAAAGAATAAAAAGATTTATAATGATTAAAGCTTTCCGGACATTGGTAAAAATGCTTAAAATTACATTGGTATACTAAAGAAATTAATGAATGGAATGTGCATATAAGATTTATCATTTGATTATTTATCATTTCGCTGAAGTTATTTTAACTTCGATGTTTATCATTTCTAGAATTTTCAATAATTATTTAGAATTTAAATAATTTTGTATAATTAACGATATTAGCGGCTTTTGCTACTTACAATATTTTATCTTAGTTTTGATATATAAAATGTTAAATTTAAAATATTTGCATGAAAAGAATAAAATATTTGTTGATTTTTATTGTACTGTCGAAATACTTAATGTGTTCTAGAAGACGTTATATAATGTCGACAAGCATTTATATCAGATGAAAATTATCGTCTTGCGCGGTTTTTGATTCTACCAAAGTGCATCGCGAGACCTCAAAGAGTGATGGATCCGTATATATGGGCTCACTCGGGTCTGAATTTAGTCTAGGATTGCTTCCAACAATTCTGGATAAAGTTGTCGAAGATAACGAGCGTTGACTAAGCATATTGCCCAAGGATCTACCGATTGGTCTAGAAGTAAAAATCAAACTCGCTAATTATTGTTATGTTATTATTCTGTCGTTTAAATATTTCAAAACTTACGAGGAATGAGATGGATTTTGAAGACCTGAGCGTAGGAAGGAAAAATTATTTGCTCGTGTACTGTAAAGGTCTTCTGAATTCTTGCTAGGAGTTGACAGTCTATCAACTTTACGATTTTTGACTACTACTGTATATACGTATTTCCTACAAAATGTAACGCATATATCAATTTTACTTATGTTATTGAAATTAAAATTATTCATTAAGTATGTCACGTTATAAATACATGACTATAATGGTTGGTTACAAATATATTTTATGTTCATTACTTGTATATTAATACTGTTAAAAGCACTATAGACGATAAAAGAACAACGAGTACGACCACGGCAGTCATAAGTCCATAATACTCGTTTGGAGTAATGCAAACAGTATCGGCTACCGGAGAAATTCTTTTTTCAGCTACGGTATTTTCTTCTTCTGACATATCGTATCTCGAATCAAAAACCTAAAATTTATATTTTAATAAAATATTTATAAAATAATTTATCCTTTTATAATAAATATAAATAAAATAAAATAAATATAATAAGTTATTTAAAATACTAGGAAATGCTTAAAAGTTGTATAAATAAGAGAGTATAATATGCAATGCATTCCTTTTTATTTAATTTTTACATTATTATTAATAAAGGCAAATATCATGAAGATTATATAATATAAGAAATATAATAATTAAAATATTTTATTAATTATAAATAAATATATTATTATACAGTTTTAATAATAGTTGTTACTTGCTTTTACAATAAAAACTATAGTAAATAAAGTTATTAAATATAGCTTACTTCTATCATTTCTCTTACAAACTCTTCCTCGTTCTCGGAAGCGTCTTTCACTTCGGCATTAGTCCCATTGATATTGCTTGGGGATTTAACAATGTGGGCGGTATTGCTCTTAGTTGAATTCGACTTATCATCAATTTCAGAGTCATTAGTGACGGACCTGCGCCTCCGTCCATAAGACGGTTCACTTCTACCAGTACTTGATGAGCAGAAAGCAGGTTGACAACCATCTCTACATGTCCGTACCGTTGCTTCAAAAACTAAAAAGTTCGATTCCGGTATTTTAAAGGCATTGAACCGAGCTTCAAGACTATCTCCATCTCGTAGCCGATCTAGACCAGGGAAAACATAGTTGTCCACTGGGCAACTATAAGCAACATATCATAAGATAAAAATATATTCTATAACACTGTGAAATTCATTTTATGAATTTTTTATAAAATACTTGCCCATATCTATCGATTAGTTGAACACTTCTTCCTGAATACGGATCTCTGGCAACGACGTTTGTTGCAAATATATCAGTCGCGTAATTATATCTGCATAAATAATTTAATTACGTTATAATTATGATTAAATAATAAATATCAAGCTCAGAGACAAAGTTAGCGAAAAATATATAATACCCATCTTGAGCTTCTAATCTAAATGTAAGTGGATCACCAACGGCAATAGTGGTAGTTGGCCTTCCTTGATAAAGGATCAATAATCGAACTCGCGAGCTCAATGTATTCTCAGCTGGTAAATATTCAATCGGTATTGGCGAACCCGATCTGCTAAGTAATTGATTTTTTTTTTCAAATAAAAAATTAGATAAAATTTTAATGGCTTTTCGATCATATAAATTTTAAAACATTTCGTAAGCTTTGATAAATATCAATGAAATATTATGGAAATTAATAATTAGTATATACCCGGCTCCGATGTAACCAGAAGTAACAACGGCTTCGTCTGGGCCTCTAAATAGACAAGTCAAATTAAAACGCTTATCTCTTCCAGTTTGAACATAATCAGAGAATTGAACCACTACGATATTCGTCATTGTATCACCGTACTAAAAAATGGCATAACATAATAAATAAAATGAAATATCGTATGAAAACAATATAAGACAAATTTTAATCATCCTAATAAAAAGATTCTAAGAAAATTTTACTTTTCTAACTAAATTTTGTACTAATTTAAAATTTTCTATTTAATTTTATCATTTTGTCTTGTTTATTAATATAGCAAATTTTTATATAATATGCAAATAATTAAAACTATCTTACTCTTTGAGTTCCACACTCTGGGTATCCTTGAGCCCCACTAATTCTTAAAACGTTCACAGTTCCACCGTTTCCGCGGAAGAAGCATCGATCATAATATCCATAAGTATAAATTCGTCCAATAAAGCCTTCTGGTGTTCGTAATGTAAATTCCATACCGTCTTCGTTGCAAACTTGACTTACTAATTATATGTCAATTTATAAAATATGTTAATTACGATAAATAATTTTTGTTCTTTAATGTATGAAAATATTATTAAAATTGTTTTTACAATAATTAATTAGATATAAGAATTTCTTATAATTAAATATAATATTGTTAAACTGCTATTGTGAAATTAAATATGATTTAAATAAATAATCGAAATATCTAAAATAGTTTGTTTGAAAATTAAATTCTTTTAAAACTGACTTTTAAACTGTATGCTATCTTTCGTTCAAGAGTTCACAAAATTTTTAGAATAAAAAGTTCTAAATCAATAATGAAAATGACTGAGAATAACATAGATGATTATATAAGATTTTCTATTAAAGATAAACATTGGAAATTGATACTTTTATATCAATTTCAACACATTTGCGTACTGATCAACGAGAAACGTTAAGAAATATCAGAGTCAATACAACCTCTGGTGTGTATTTCGATTTCGTATTTTTGTTCTGCAGTTTCTCTTCAGAGACTCGATTATGTATGTAACATCGTGGTTTTAATATTTTAAATCATTCGATAAAACTTATACTTAAGACTTTTATAAAATAAAATTAATCAATAAATGAAACTTACCATCGAGGCATTCATCTCCTCCTTGCCTGCCATTATTCCGCTCGTAAAAGTCATAATCAGAGCTGCTGTCGTAATAAATGGGATTGCCCATATCCATGTCGCGAGAATCTCGGTCACTGAGCTCACAATTGTCCCTTTCGGCCCCGAAAAGAGCGGCATAAGGTCGGAAATTGAAGGACCTGCAGACGAAGTCCCGGGCGTCGGCGCATTCGCGCTCGCACTGGGATAAGGAGGAGGCGGTCGTGTATCGGCGCACGAAGGGTTTACGCACTCTTGTACCTTGTCCAACCTGGCGGAAGTTTTCCTGTTCGTCACAGCGTGAGAGTAAAGGCGGACGACCGATTATTGGACCACCGCTCGTTCCGAAGGGACGCGAGTGATAAACGCCGCCTTCGCCGATGTAACCACCGCCGATTATGGCCCCTTCGTCGTAGCCACCCGGGCCCAGAGAGTTACCGCCGATGGAAGCTCCGGGGCCACTCGATGGTCGCCCCGACCCTGGCCGATCATTGTAATCCTTGCCCGTGTAGCCAGGATACCTAGACCAATGCTATCTTTATATCGCTTTAACAGTCCACGCTATTATTTATTGAGGTTCAATAGCGCTGCTTTATTTATTCGATCAATTAAAATTATAAAAACTTAATATTCATTTTCTGTGTATTATATTACTAATTTCAGCTTTGAATTTGCAACTACGTACAAGACGATAAGTATTATGTATAAGAATCAATCAAGATATGTACTTGATATTGCCATTAATTACATACAATTATTAGAAATTTAATAACTGTGATTATATAAATTCAAATATGAGTACTATTTTTATCAGAAATTCAGTCAAGTATGACTTTACGTATGCCTATAAAAATATAGAATACGAAAAGTATTTTCCATATTACGCATATTTTTTTCATTAATTCTCAGGATTAATACAGTTAATACATTAATCATTAGTTACATAATTTGCAAAATATATTACAAATAATTTCAAATTAAAAACATTAAACAGTTAAATTTAATGTAAACTGATTAAATGTTTACTTTATTACTTATTTATTGTAGTATATTATAGTAAAATCTTGTTTCAATATTATACATGAATTTTCTTTAAAATATAAATAAATTTATTCCAATATTAAAATAAAAAATTAGTTTATTAGTTCACAAACAACTAATCACACTTCCCTTACAGTATTTTCAGAAATATAAATGTATATGTTCTTGTAATACTTTTTGTCATCAGTTTTATTATAAATTGTAAATTAATTGATTTATCCGACCCTTTATTAATTAGTTTTACGAATTATAAATTTAATGGGTTATTCAAAATTTCAACATTTGTAAATCATCTACTCTAATTTATAGGTTTTACATATATTAAAATTTAATTATTTATACTCAAATAATTAATAATATTTCTAATAGAATTTGTATTTTATTATTTTTTTATCATTATTAATCTTATATCGATTTTATTATTATATAGTAGTGTAAAATTAAAATTATCTATAAATAATCTTAAAAATCCTTAAAATTTTCTTATAATTTATGTTAAATGTATATAAAAGAAATTATCCTTGACCAAGTACAAAATATAATATATTAGGGTCTTTATTACAACCCATGAATTTTTTAGTTTAAATTTATCTGCAGAATGCGAGATAATTAATTAAAGCATTTCAAAATTATAGGGAACAATTAAATGAAATCTTTTATTTTCAGAAGCATTTCATGTCATTCTTAGCAATTCAAATGGTTTATATCAATAATATGTCCTATACACTCTTAATTTAAAATAATCTAGAATATATACCTATATTTTTGAAACATTATTCTCATTAAAGTTATATTTCATGTATGTAATAGAAAAGTAAAGCCAATACATTTTATAAATAAGTTTAATTTGTATCTATTATAAATAAATAAGTAAATTATAAATTTCTTATATACTTTTGGCTTCAGTATATGTTGAAAAACTTATATGAAATGTTAAATTTTAAATTTATATGATGAAATATCTTTTTATTAAAGTTATTATCAATACTATACTAAACTTATAGAATAATTCACGTAAAAATTATAATATTTAAAATAATAAACAATAACTCAAGATAAATGTTTATATTTTTAAATTATGTAAATTCGTATTTATCGAATAGCCTTATTTAAGTAATAATTTAAATAAATAAGAGATTAAGTTAATATTTTACCTCTCGGGATATGGATAACCATCCTTTTCCGGATATCTATCTCCGGATGGAAATCTTTCCGGAAGTCTATTTCCATCTATTCCTCCTGGAAATCTATCGGGTGAATCCTCCGGCAAAGGATAACGATCTAGGGATGTAGCTGGAGGCTGTTGGGGATAACGATCATCCAGAGCTGGAAAGCCAGTGGTGCCGATTGGGAACCGTGGTCCAGGAGTATAACCGCTTGGACGGTCGAGAGATGTTATGACTGGATATCTGTGTATGATCCCTGGAAAGCGGTTTCCCAAACCCGGCCGTAACGGTAGTGGTGAAGGTCGACTGGGATAGCGACTACTGATAGGTCGCATTGGGTAGCGGTCATCGGTTGTTGGGTAGCGATCACCAATGGGGTAGCGATCTCCCATAGGGTAGCGGTCACTGACTGGGTAGCGGTCCATTGGATAGCGATTGACCAGTGGGTAACGTTCGTCAGATGGAAAACGCTCTGCGCCACCCATAGGGTAACGATCTGGACCCGATGGCGGATAATGAGGACGACCACCACCGGAAGTGAGGTAACGCTCGTCACCCGGCAAATAGTGAATGGGGTAACGACTGCCTGGATAGGGATATTTATCTGGGCGCTCTACCTTATTCCCACCTGGATAGTCGTCAGAGTATCCTTCATATATTTTTAAAAAATACGCAGAACTTAGTAATATGCTGATATAAATATTTATTATGTTCGATTCATTTCGATCAAGTAATTTCATGTATTTCGAAAGTTTAATATATATAATACATGTTCATTATCTTATAATATAGCCTATAATTTATTCAAATCTAGTAAAATAGGACAAAGGTTTTTAATTGGACGTTTAGCATTATATTAGGATATATTTTTCGTACCGGGTCTTCCTAAGAATGGTCGTCCATGTTTTGTGTCCTGACCTAATGGATCCGGTCTGTATCCTGGCCCTCCTTCGTTGTCTATGTATTGATCTATTTATATTAATTCCATATTAATTCCAACATATAATAGCTTTTTGAAAATACGCTAGAATGATTCAGTGATAAAATATTATAGATTTAGATGGTACGAGTAATGGATTTATAAATTGATTTATAATTTGTTTATTTATGATATATAAATCAATTGATTTTGGCTAATAGTTTATATAATTTATAATTACATATAATTCCATTTAAATAAGTATTAAAAGTAGGTTACTGACTTTATAAATTATGAAATCTTCTGAAACCCAAATCCATACTGATATTGATATGTTTAATACGAATAATACTAATGAAAATTTTGATTTTTAATTAATTAGTTGAATGAAAAAATTAAATGAAAAACAGAAGATTATCTTTTTTAGGAAATTTACATAATATATGAATTATCTATAATCCTACTTAAATCCCTTGGAAAGTCGGTGGATCGCATCGTAATGAATTTATTCCGTTGACTTGTTGCGGTCGGTAAAAAAAATCCATACTTACGCATAAGGTTCTCGTAGTAATCATAATCGGCATCGTAAATAATACGATGTCCATCCTTTTGATTAAACCTGCTGAGTCTGCAGGTCCTATAATTTTCCGAGTAAACGGCGCTCCGGCATTGGAAGCTCGTCTGCCTGAGGCACTCGTCGAGGCATTCGCTCAGACTCCGACCCGTGATCTCCGAGTGAAATTCCCCACTGAGTCGGGAATTTCGGAAGCGTTGAAAGGCCGTGTCAGGCCTGCGACCATCGGTGAATAGGTGAGAGGAGACGCTATTGTCCGGATATTCGGAACCTCGTGCTATGGACGGATCTATATTTCGTAATCGAGCTTTGTTACGTACGGCTCGGCTATGTACATCTCCGATTTTTTTATATTTCGCTCCTTACTTTATCGTTGATGAGTCAGCACACCGCGGAGTTTTTTCCTCATTTTAGATAAGCACATGCGACTACTCGTTATTTCTTACATACAGAAATACAAATTTTAGTTGAAGCTTGGATGAAGCGCGATCATGCGTTTGTAGATATAAGCGAATGCTGTGCAAATTGATGGGGATATAGACTGTTACATGTGAAATTGCTTTCTGTGAATGTGCATCCTTCTTTTGATTATGATACGTGGGAAATGCGACGAGATGAACAATAGATGAAAAGGCCATGCAAAAATAAAAAATATGTGCACGTTCCTCGAATGGTGACATTTGAACAAAACATTTTTTAAAGTGGGTCAAAAACTAGAGCGGTAAATTATTTCCCTCTTTATTAAAAATTAATTTATATATTTATTCTTATTCGTTTAGTACTGTCGGAGTGCTGTTTATAGGAATATTAAGGAAAGTGTTATTTTATTTTTACAATAATAGAAATAATTCATATGTGCTAAATCACTTGAAAAAATTTACATTAAAATTAATTTATATTTGATCAAAAGTTTTAAATTACGCTTTCATAAATAAATTAGTGGTAAAAAAGAGAAATGAATATATTGTCAATAATTTTTACACATGCATTTAGCCTACTTAAATACTATAATTATTTCTCATAATTTTGGTTACTTTTACTATTTTTGTTAATTTATGGTTAAATACATGAATATTTACGATTTTGCTTTTATGCATCATTTGAAATAATATTCTTATATTATTTTATGCATCTTATATTATATTATATTATATTATATTATTCTTATATAAGATTTAGCGAGTGCAATAAAAATATATACATATGAATATAATTAACGAAATATTTGATAAAATGTGTCAGACTTACGATTATCCAAACAAACTAAATCGTAAAAGTGATAACTAGGTGTACTGCTAATTCCAATATCATCTCTTTGAGAAACGGAATCTTCTTCTGAAATGACGCACTGTCGAGTCTGTTCATCGAATTCGACGCTCCGACAGAAATACTTTTCTGCCCTCAGGCAAAGCGCCTGGCACTCGTCAAGAGTTAAATTTGTATAAATGTCAACTTCAAAAGGACCACGTAGCCGTTTGTTTTCTTCCTTTATGAATACCGCCAATCCATCGCAGCGATGTTCAGCTGAAAATATGAAATACTTCATAGGAACAAACACATTTATACTGGAATATATAAAATGGTAATAAATTTTAAAAAGGTTATATTTTAATACATTTAACAAATATTGTTTTAAAATAATATTTTATATTTGGGACATTTCATCCTACAAGATTTCATAAGTGAGAATATAAAAATACATTTTCAAACTAGATAGAATTAAACACTATATTAAATATAATGATGAAATAGTAGGTAATAATATTCGTACCATTTAAGCAGGTGTTTTCTAAGTATTCTGAATTGGCATTGTCTTCAAGAAGTTCAGGATGTGTTCTTCTTGTAAAGCGGCTGAGTGAGCAGCTTCTCATGGATACATCGTAAGTGGCTGATCGGCAAACAAAACTAAATTCGTTAAGACATCTAGACAAAAATGAAATCATATACTATACAATTATTAGAGTATTATATTTTTGGAATATTTATTTAAAGTTTTTTTATGAATAGGCCTAATGCCATGGTACACGAAGCCTTCACATTATTGAATATTGCTAAGCATTTATTCAATTCGAAACTTAAATTTTATTTTTGCCTCACAATACTTTCAGTTTTATTGAATGTTGATATAGTATTGTATAATTAACAATATTGTATAATTAACATAATATAATTAATATTTCGCAATGAATAATGCATAAGCAAAGATTATCGAAATTTAAAGGTCTAATTTCTATCTTTCTTATATTTTTTTATCATATGTAATGCAAAGTTGTATTTTATGAAATACAAAGTTTATATCTTAGTATGATATATCCACAAAATATTTCTTACCGATCCTCGCATTCCGTTCTGTTAGCGGCGGTAATTTCTTTCACATCCGTCGTTGGAAGCTTGAGCTTTTTCCGCGAATGCCTTTCAAAAACGTAGCGTCTATTCGGACATTCCCTTTCAATTCGGCTGGCTACAACGAGAAAAACAAAAGGAAAAACTTTGAATGGTGTAAAAAAATTAATTTCTGTCCGCTAATCATGGCTCCAATTACCGACACTCGACGCGTGACGATCGCGTGTGCCTTTTACCAGTTACCGAGGCTGTCACACTCTGATCACACCGATGAGCACCCTCAAATCATTGTTCATGCCATTGTTCGGATGTTGTTATTCAAACAAGCGGAATTTCGCTGCCCACTAAATTAAATTTAGAAAAGGGAGGACAAATGCAAACCACCGGCAAAAAATCTACATATTATAGTATGCGCACGATTACCGAATGTCGTTGTTATTTCATCCCTCATAAACTCACTACGATCGTAATCTGAAATTAAAATATGCTCATATTGAAAATTACAAAAGATGAGCATGAAGGTTGAATTCGAAGGTTTATTTGTAAATTAAATACCGTGGTATATTGTAGCTTTGCAGGATGGACATTAATTAGGGAATCAAAGGAAAACGAATTTAGACTGGAATATTGAATAAATAATTCAATAACATTAATACTTTTCAATTTTCACGCAAAACATATTGCGTACACATGTCGCGTGCACGCGTGCACACATACACACACACACACACACGCGTGCACGCGTGCACACATACACACACACGCACACATGATATTTATTCTTTAAGCAATATTAAAACACTTGTGATAGTATTCAAAGAGAAAAATACGAATTAAAAATGAATAAAAAGATTATAGATATTTGCACTGTTAAACACTCATGTAAATATAGGTACTCATGTAATATATAAAGAAAATATAGGCCACAATAATCTAATATGAATTTTATTAATATTTAATTTTTAATCTTTTTAATATTATTCATAATATAAATTTACGCTCACAATTTTATCAATTATGCTTAATGCATAAAGTGTCGGCAGAGACTAATATGGGTAGTATCTTCTACAGATACTACATAGTTTATTAGATGACTTTGATTAGAATTTACCAAGCATTTTATAGAGAGCAATTATTATTAATGAATAACCTCTTAATGTTTAGTTTCAAATAACTTTTTAATCTCAAAATAGATAGAAAAGAATGCATAAGCTTACATGTCAAACACACTTCCGTGAAATGCACGCTATTGGGAACCATCATAAGGTTTCCTATGCCTTCCGGTTGTGCTTGCTCAGCGCTCAAATAGCAGGTGCTTTCTTCGTATTCGGCGGCACCACTGAACGATGCTATTCTGCTACCGGGTTGAAAATCAAAGCTCGAACAAGCTCGCACCAAGTTGTTGGTAGCCGTCCGATCCCTGAGACACAGCTCTTGGCATTTTTCTAGTACGCGGAATGGCGGTGCTGTATCCCTTACCTTGTATGTTAATAATTCGTTACACGATGTATATTAATATTATTTACCTTTATCAACATTCTTTCTTTATTGGGCAGAAAAATTATAACATTTAAAATTAAATGAATATTCAATTATATTTACGTTTGCTTTTATTTGTAGTAACGTGTGTGTATATGCATGTGTATGTGCATAGGCTCTTGTCTATGAATGACGATGAGCGTATGTTCTATATGAAGAAACAAGTGAACGAGAGAGAGAGAGAGAGAGAGAGAGAGAGAACTAGTGCGTGCGCGCGCGTGTGTGTAGTTAAATACAAAAATAAAATCATTCAATTTGTCATTTTCTTGTTTACAATATTTATTTTTAAATTCATAATGGATCATTACAAAGAATGTGAAAAATTGTACATGCCCTTAAAACTTACCACTTCGTCGTCGAAGCCTTGTAATTGTTGATCTGGTAATCTTTCATAAACAACTCTACCTGCCCCACCATTACAAGTGGTTTGAGCTGCCAATAATAAATTAAATTGTGCCATGTTACAATTATTTAATTAAAATCTATTTGAATGTTTTATTCTATGCAATATGACATTAACACGAATTTTAATGTATTGCCTAGAACAGGTAGTAAAATCAATAGATATAAAAATAAGTTATTACCATTCACGAGCATCTTCAACACCGTGAGAACAGTAATAGCTTGAACCATACTGAACATATTATGAATCTTTCTCATTTTGAATTCTGATACAGACACTATCAAGTAGTCATGTCACTCGCAGTAGGACTATAAACATAATTTATAATATTTTCGGATTAGTAAATCAATGTTTTAACTATCGTATTAATATTTGATGACGTACTTGAATTATTATTAAATTTTAATCAATTAGCTTAGAAGCATGCATACACTTAATAAAGATAATGGGGTATGTTGTTCTTAACGTTAATTTTATATAAAATTTTTTAATAATTCTGCCTGGCAACATGTTCCTAGATTGTCTAAGGAAAAAAAAAATTATTTCTTGTCTTTCATATGAAATACAATAATGTATTGAATTCGCTATTTCTAAACAATTGTATATTTATAATTGATAGTTAAAAAAAATTACAATATTTAATAACGTTATTTATCAGAAAAATATAACTTACAATTCTTATTTAAGAACATATTCATGATATTACCATTCTTATTAATCATCATTATATATAAATTTCATTGATATAAATAATTATATTTATAAATGTCATATTTTTCTTAAACACTTATAATTTCAGGTAATGTATTCTGACGAATAACAACTTACCATAACACTAATAACATTAACATAACCAATAATAAATTCTCTGACATGTTTGTTGTAAAAAATATTGCTTTTTACGAAATGAAATTTTGAGTTTCTTCTAATCTAAAATTATGAATTAAATATTAGAATTCATTTTTTTCGCGCCTATGAAAAACTATGCGTAGCTCCGAACTTGCTTATGACAACGTTCACCCAACTGATTTCAAAACAGACTGTGCACGCATCGAAGGGAGTTTGGTTGTCGAGCCGCCGGAATCAAAACGCCGTGACAACCATTCGATGCCCCCATCTGATGTTACGGATTAATATAAAAAAGAAAAAATAGTCCAATACTTCCGCACTTGAATAATGAACGTGGAGTTTCATCATGACTCTGAACTTGCTTTTTCCATCATATCAAGCTCGAATTGGTAAATATAATGTTTCGGTATGTCCAAAATCAATTTTTATTACCGAGAATACACGATTAAATATTGAAGGTAGTAGTCAGTTCATTTAATTCATATACAAGAACAATAATACTCTTTTATTTGCATTTAATGTTTTAGCTAAATTGCAATTCAGTTAAGAAAGTTCGTTATGATTTATACGGGGTAGAAATTGAGACTTTCATTATATTTAATGAAAGCTATCGTATTAATTTTGAAAATTTGTATTGTTCAGAAATTAAAATATTGATGTAAAGAAAGCAAATTTTTCTAAACCTACTTTTCTTGATAATATATTCATGAAATTATCTTGATTATAAATAAATTTACATCTTGATATTATATAGTGTTTTATGTTTCTCATAATGAAAAAAATAATTTACATAATTTCTATACAATAATAATGTAGAAAATCAACAGAGGAATAAAAAATCGTTTATGAGCAAAACCATACTATAATTGGACTAATTTTACGAATGTTCTTAAATTTGAATTCTTAAAATGTTGTATGATTTTTATTTGTTGTTATCAATCATATATCAATTATGTAAAAAAAAAGTTTTTTTGTTAATTTGCATTTACGGACATTACGTGAATAAAATGATAGTGAAATTGATAATACAAGTTAGTTTCATACAATATTCTCAAGTCTTTAATTCATGCATTTAATCAGTCAATATTCATAAATTGAAATTGAATTATTTATTCTAAGTTACCAATTACAGTATTTAATTAATTCTTACCAAGCAATTCAATTTTATTATAGTTTTAGTTCTTCGAAATTTTACCCTTTAGTTTTGTTAAAAATAATAATGAATTAAATGATTTGGCTAATGGCTACATGTAAAGTATAATACAATAGATTATAAGCATGCGGTTAGTGATGATTAATTCGTAACCTAATGCAACCAGCTGAACTAAATAATGAACAACATATTATTTTATATAGATTAATAATAAAATAACATTATCGGTATTTATTCAGAGAAAAATCTGGCAGCATATAGGGAAAAAACTGATTCGAAGTGCGCTGGTACGAGTAATGGGATAAAGTACAGAAAGAGTAGAGTGCAAGACCGAAGGAATAGCAGCGCAGGCCCGTTTCGCCTTGCCTTCACCCTCGCGCAAATCTATCAGCTTACACGGCACTCTCCCCTGCTCCCGGATTCGCGATAACAGCAAAGATAATAGATCCCTAATAATGCGCTCGCTGGGAAGTTGGAACTACGCTCCGTTGGCTATCCGTGGGCGCGCGTCCGTCCGAGCTCTGTCCACCTCGTTGCTTATTTAGCGATTCGACATGATGACGGCCCTTACGCGCACGTCTGGCCGCGGTTCAGGGTGACCGCCTGTTAGGAATCTCGACGCCGCTGTCGCTGGCGAGGCGAAAGCATCTGCAGCGATGCGCGTCGGCCCACGAGATTATGACGAATGGGACCGGAGGACGCGATGTATTTCGGCGATTGGGCAGCTACGCTAAGGAAATTGCGAAAGCTCGATACTGCTTTGGCCTCCTTTTTTCCATTCCTCTTTTCTCCATTAATATACAATGAGACTAGTTCAATCTAAATGGGGACTGTTTTATTAACTACATTGTTCTATAGGATTTACTATGTATGCTCGAATTTATATGTATATTTTATGAAATTTGTCCTTGAGATTATCAAGATAGGAACTTGTGCAACAGCCTCGTGAATATCTTTGACTCTTAATCTCGGATTCCTTTACCGAACATTTCGCATAATTGACTATTCTGTTAATCTAATGAGCTAACTTCGAATACTGAATCTTTTGTTTTATTATCCTCGATTTTTATCTAGACAACAACACCATAAGTCGAATATAAATGTAGGACTTTGCTGTCCATTAGTGATGCAGATAACAAACATTATTTAACATGTGAATAATTAGAAATACTCACGTATTTAATAGGCAATCTTCGAGAATTTGAATTTATTAATTTTTTATAATTGTTGGTATATTTGGTTTTAATTATAATTAGCAAGCTAGACTTACATTCTTTCTTATATCTCAAGTTACACATTAACATTTGTTGTGGTCCATACATTTTCGAATTCTACTCGAATAAATAATTCACATGACTATGTAAAAATTTGATTTATTATGAAATATAATAAGCAGATTAAAATTTGTCGATAAAAATTACAATGTATTTAATCAAATTGAATTTCATTTGTTATTATTGTATATGAATATAGTTTAGAATCTTAAGTATTAAACACATGATTTATGACTTTCAGTGTTGGCTATTATATCTAGTAAAATGTCTCAATATTGAATACAATTATATTGATATAAAAAAAATGTAAATACGTATATATTATATTTTAATAAATGTTTTAATAAATATAACAAACATATAAGCAAATCATTATAATCTATATAATCATTAGATAATATTTTAAAAATTTAACAATCACTAAACAAATTGAAAAATTTAAATATTTATAAATATGGATTATAAATTTTTTATATATATATATAATTACACACATTGAAAGATAGATATTATTCAATTACTTCTTAGTTACAAGTACTTATGGAAATATGTAGTCATAATGTTTTTATCATTATTTTTATTATTATCATATATTTTTATATATTCAAATAAGGCTTAACGTTCAAAGGTAATGATATACATTTTTATAATTTATATATAATCATAACTATTTTATTTATAAATTCAAATAAAATGATGACGATATTGAATTATAATTTCGTAATTTATTCAACATCATATACATAATACTTTTGTATTAACATCATTAGTTGGTTTGAATTTTGAATTTTAAATTTTGAATTTCAAACACCAATTATGATTAGTGCTTTGAACTATAAAGTTCAAAAATATTCGACACAATAAAATTTTAAGCAATTCTAGATAAATATTTTTTGGGAAATAATTTTCCTTTCGATTAATTTATTGTAAAAATTGATATTATTATTATGTTTATGTCATTGTAATTTAATGTTATTATTTATGATTTATTACATACAAATTTAAAATGACATAAAATATTTTAAAAAATATATTTTCAATTAATGCTATTATTAAGTTTATTAAAAATATTTGTGTATTTATATATATATATATATGTGTATTTTTTCGAAACTGAAAAAATCTGAACAAATAGTTACTTCGAAATATATTAATTCATAGCTTATGTTTTTATATTAATAATTATTTTTAAATAATGTTATATCCGTATAATATAAATAATAAATGATAACTATAATATATGCTATTTTGATAAGATTTTTTAAGACTTAATTTTTATTCAATAATAATTTTTTAATATTATTATTAGTAAGATAGAATTTATACAAGTATATCGATCGTTTTAGCGTTGATATAATTTAATAATAAAATAATGATATTTCTTTGTTTTTATGGATTATCATTCAATGTGAAATTCGTTATATTATCGATCTACGAAAATAAAAAATATAATAGAACTCTTTTCAATAACTTTCTTTTATTAATGTAATTATTTCATTCGCCTATTAATGCAAATGCTCCTCCATACCCTATTAAATATGATATTCCTATTAATCTAAAATATAATTATATATTTTTATTTTAAATATAATAGTCATTTTTAATACATCACTATAAATTCAATTTCAATAGTTTTTCTGTAGTTTTTTTAATTCAGTTTGTAAAATCTTGAGAATTAAAGAAATATTTTATATTCAATTAGCAGTCAATAAGTAAAAGAATATGTAAAATAAGTGGAAAACAAACAGAAAATGTGCGGATGCCTACACGATTGTGGTCTAGAATGAAAAGTAAATTGACCGTTATTATTCTATTTGCAGATTTTCAGTTGAAAAGAGCTAATATAAAATGCAAAGCATGCACTACTTAACACGCCATGTCATTGAGTTAACGACATATTTCTAAGCAAATTAATTCTAAGCAAACTAATGTATTATACTAGTTTGAACTTCAAATATGTAAAAAAAAACAACAGATAAATTCAATTTGTTATTGCACAATTGAAGCTTTGTTATCTCGAACAAAATATTAAGTATAAGGTTTTTTATTTACAAGATTCGTAACTTCTTAAACTTCATAAACTTAAAGTGAAAATGTGTTTATAAAAAACTAATATACATATAAATAATAATAAAAACAATAATTCCTTCCAGAACGCCACATATTGAATGTGATCACGATAAAGCTCCTAGAATTGCGGCAAGATTGATATAAAAATAATAACTACATAACAAAGCTATGATTAAGTAAGAATCGAATTATGTGACTAAATGTTCGTGAAAGCCAGTTAAATCAAATTGAAGTATTGTAACGGCCGATCCGTCAGGATTAATACGAGCTCTCATAGCTTACTTATCCAACGATCTCTTATCCGCTCGCAGCCAACGATGAGTGCTCGAGGAATGTAGCCTCGGCTCCAGGGAGTCTCTCATGAATGTGGCAGCGAGGGGCCGAGAGGCTGATAACTCCTGTCGCTGTACACACAAACGCGATTGCGCGAGCGCGCCCGCAGCCCCAGGTGTCAAGGAGGCGTAGGGTATGAGAGGCCGGCCAGCGCGAATGGCACCTATAATCAGACTGAGGGCCCAAATCAGGAACCCAAGGCGCGTAGGGCCTCTGCTTGCTGGCCTTGCTTCGCGGGCCTAGCCGGAAGCGCGCCGGCTCGCATTGTGCTCGGTTTCCGCGTGCGCACATCCGGGAAAACGCGACTGCCCGATGGGACACTCCGAGTGCCCGTGACGCACCGTTGCGGAATCACGGATTAGAGATTCCGCGGATGTTGGGTCAAGGAGGGTACACGCCGGGGGAGGAGAAGTGCACCGTCGCAGCATATGAGCTGTCCGAGGTTACCGATGATGCGCTACGGGGGGCTGAGTATTATGGAGCCTTGATTTAGGGGTCACCAAGATTAGCAAGAAGGCGCTTGATTCTGATTGCGATGTGAATAGGCGAAGGATTTTGAAAATTAATTGTTCATATCTCGTTTATTTTTCGAAATTGAAAATAGATATACTTTAGTAAGGCTGATTATTAAAAATGAGTGTTGATTAGTTAAGCGAACCAGTGAGTGAGACAATGGAGGTGAATAATGTGTAGAGGACTAAGTAGTGGCTAAAGTATGCAGCATATCGAATACAACCGAGTATTGACTAACAAGGAAAGTGTCACACCTCCGGAAAACGAATTTCAACTAGGCTTTGAAAGGCGGCTTTCAATGACTAGAATAAAAATCTCAATTTAGACGATTAATTAACAATTATTGATGCATTGGTAATTTGTGTAGTTTGTTCATTATATAATAATTTAATTTAAACATCAAAATATAATAATACACTAGCTTTGCTATATTTAAATTAACATTTTGTTATATAAGTATTATCAAAATTTTTTATTTTCAATTCTACGTATACCTTTAACTGTTATGAAAAGAATTTTTTACATTTTTATAAAAATAGTACTGCGACATAATGATCAAATATCTATGTATATATATATGGGAATGAAACAAATTTAATTATTATGCTTTTGAAAGTAATAGCCTTGAAATAAAAACAATCGATGTTATTCTTTTGTTTTAAAATTAATTGATTTTCATTCGGTTTATTTATTATTTTTTTTAAATATTAAGCCAACTAATAATTAAAATGTTATTGCTAAATTTTTATAAAGTTTTCAATTATTCTTTAGAATACTTCATGTATCGCAGCATAAACAGCGCAACATAACAACATATATAAAACAGCGTAACTCTTCTTTTCCCTTTAAATTTCTATTAGCTATTCCAAATGTACATGAATGTTATTCTCATAACAGGGATAATTTTTTAATATATTTTATTTAATTTTTTAATTAGTATATATATTTTTCTAATTATCCTAAATAAAATAACGAATAATTATATTTATAATAATATATATGGGATCATGATCAAATATAAAATATAAATATAAAAAAAATAATACCGTATTAAAATATACCCGGCGATAGCACTAATTTGCCTCATATCTCACTTAATATTTGAAAATTGTATCACACACTAGTTGAAATAACCCCATGAGAACTATTGCGTGAAAAAGTGTTTACGGTAGGATGGGGAGAGTCAATGTCGTAAGTCTTAAAACCTTAATGTCCTCCGCTATTAAAGAAGAAAAGAATAAGGTAAAATATTCAGTATTTTATATATTCGTAAATTTAATATTTAATTTAATTTAATTAATTTTAATATTCGTAAAAAAGGAATCTAAATCGTTCAGTTGTAAAAATTAAATAGTAAAATTTATCGTATTTTCTATTATACATACATTATATATTACTATATTACTATAATACTATTATAATACATGGATGTATATACATTTTGATTATACATTTATTTATACATTTTGTGTATATTGTGTTGCATATATATATATATATATATATATATATATATATATATATATATATGTAAATATTTTACATATTCATACGCGAGCAAGCACATAGGATATTTGTAATAATGCATAGTGTTTCATGTAGTTGGATCAATAGTGCCGAAATGTTACTTTTTCTTTAATTTTGTTTAACTTATCTGATTGTTATGAATTTATTGTTATATTCTTAAGAAAAAGTAAATATTTTAAATAAATTCAAATAGTAGTTTCATCAATGTGATATGTATTTTTATTTTTAATTTTTAACGAAAAATATATGAAAAGTATACATTTTGGAAATATTGATTCAAATTTAAAATATAAAAGTATATGAAAATAATTGAAACTTTGCTATGCATCATGAAGAGATAAGTACTTTACAAATATTTTATCTATCGATGTACAGCACTATTATTTGTGCTTGCTTAAATATCCTGTTCAGCTTGAAATAGCGCGCTTTTGCAAGGGCCAATACGCTTGATTATTTGTTGCAGATGCCTGAAAAGAGCTCGCTTATTTCACTTCCGAGTTTGAACCAATCGTGGCTGAACATTAGGAAAGAATATCATATGCATACACGTTGTTGAGGTAGGAACCTGAGGCGATAGCAACGCTCTCCACCACTCCGTGCCACTGTTACGAACTGGAGGAAGAAGTAAATGAATAGCGCACGACAGTGGACATTCAGTTGTCAATGTGTTATGTGATTATTATAAGGTACTGTAAGTTAACCAAATTGTGAACATTTCTATATTATTATTAGAAATTTATTGATCGCAAACTCTTCTCAGGAGTGTAAATACTCTACCGGGACTTACGGTACAATAGATAGGAGCTTTGGGTACCTTAAGATCGAGCATCAATCTGTCTAGGAGTGGAGAGACAACGACTCGCCCGTTCGAATGTGGCTGCTCGATTGATTTTGAGTAATTATTGATTATGTTCCCTTTAAATACAGTAAATTATCATTTTTTGATGTTGACCTATATTGGAGGTGATAAGTAAATAGTGACTTACGAATATAAGGGAACCATCAAAAAATGTTTCTATACGTATGAACATATTTATGTATGTTCTGGTTGAACAATTAAGAGGAGAAAAAATTGGGCTTTATACTTTCAACAATATTGAGTTATAATATTTTTTTATTGTTTTAGGACTGCTTTTGAAGAGACGTTACTAGGGAATCTCTTTAAATAAAAGTCAAAAAAAAATCCAAGATGACATTAAATACAGGTATCAAGAAATTTTGCTTTATATATTTGGATATAATTTTAATATTTATTTTAAATAATATTTTTTAACATTCAAATTTTTAGTTCTATTAAAAGTTAATATTTGGTACTTGAAATCATTTCAACTTACTTACTAATCACCATAAATATTTTTTCAAAAATCATATTACTGTTTTAATAATATTTACATTTATAAACCATCATAAAGTATTTATATTATTTTGAAAAAAAAAATATGTATATACACACATATTATATTTTTTAAACGCAAGAATTTTAAATTATTGTAATTTATTATAAATTACTTATAATCTTATAGTTAAAAATACATAATTTATTTTAAATAATTGTTCGAAGTATTAAATAACCAGATTTTATTTATTTTTAAAAATTTATTGAAACTAATTAGTTTTATATTAATGTTATTATTTTGTTATTTCTTTTGATAGACATTTCAACAGCTTTACACTTGTTGGAGCATGTGCATGAGCGAGTAGAGGATTGCGATGATCCAAAGCTGCAGTTGCATACCAGTCAGGATTTGCAATCACTTATATCATTATTGGAGGATCCAGTATTTCGAAGTATTGTGACAATACAAGATTCACTGGCAGAATTAAATAGTCAACTTGGACAGCATCCTTCTATTTTACCGGGAGACTTTGATATTAGTCTTGGTGGGCAGTTAGAGCTTTCAGTTCCTAATACACCAGTTCAACCAGTTGGACAAGCAATGTACCAAAATTTATATCAAGATACTGAAATAGATGATCAGAGAGTTCCAGTCGCACCACTGTTGCATAGCAGTAGTGAAGAAACTAGCACACAAGTAAATATTATTTAATCTATATTTTCATCAAAATTTATAATTACAATTTTTATAAACAAATAAATTATTATAATTTTGTTGACGAGCCAAGGTACATAGATTTGCTAATAATGAAATAAAAATTAGATCATTTAATTATAATTATTTTAAATATATATTTCAAATTGATATTGAATTTTTAGTATGTGTTAATTAAATGGATTTAATAAAATTTTTTTTTTAAATTATATTTTAGGTAACAAGTCCTAGTTTAATTTCTGAGGTAATTGGAATGCCACCCATAATGACTCCAACATATGCAAAGGAATTTCAAAAGGTTATAGAAACAGCAGCTAAAGGGAGACAAATTTTCACTGTTCAGGTAATTTATACATTTATTTAGATTTAATAGTAATAAAAATACTTAAAAGAAATATTGTGCTATATTAAAATTTTATTTTAAATTAGTTGTACAAATCAGAAGGAACGAGCCTTGGATTCAGTGTGGTTGGACTTCGTAGTAAGGATCGTGGTGAATTGGGAATATTTTTACAAGAAATTCAACCAAATGGAATTGCTGGAAGGTAAAGAGAATTTTTATCTTTTAAGTAGATTAATAGAACAGTACAAATTAGCTGAGTCGAAGAATTCCTTTGCTTTATTATTGTATTTTTACTTACATTAAATTAATGAATTAGCATCCTTTTTAAACATCTTTATCAATAATTATAAGTTTTTCAAGGAATTAAACATACTGCTAAGTATTTCTTCAATTTTTAGTCATATTTAAACTTGGAGGGTAACAAAAAATTAATTAATGTCTTATTTAATTTCTCAATGAATAAAGTGATTAATTCAATTAAAGATATAGGATTCCATCAGAATATTTATGAAATTAAATTTAAATTAATTAAATTAAAACGAATTTTTACTTTTGTTTCATAAATATTTAATTGGAATAAATTTGGTTACTGAAAAAATTATACCTGTAGCAATGGAGTTTTTAATTACTTTTCTTTATTAATCAGTTTCCGATATGTAGAAAATATTATTTATTAACAATTTTTTTAGTTTTTCTAAAAAGTTTCCAACATTGGCCAAAAATTTTTAGTCACTGTACTAATATTTTATCATCGAAAATTTATCGACTATCATGTTGCTGCAAAACTTTCGACCACAAAAAGAATATAAAAATAAATTATCGATAACCCAAATGTAACAGAAGCATAAATAAGTTTGAAATATACTTTTCGACGATGTTTTCGATAATGCGATAACAAAAATTATTTATTAGCAATTGAGAAGAGTGCAAATATATAGGAAAGGAGCGGAGAAAAAATAGGGTTGAAAAAAAATAAAGTATGTCTTGTTTGTTTATACAATCTAAAGTGTACTGTAAATTACTTTTCTCTCTGTTTTTGCCAGCAACAATTCCTTGATCTGGTATGTACAAAATGATACATTAAAAATTTGAATCTCGTATGTCAACGGGAGAATTATCGATTTTCCGTCGGCGCATTTGAACGTATTTGTGTGTATTCTTGCGGGTGTTCACAAGTTTACAATTTTCCAGCATGATGTCGCTGTTGTCGCGTAGCTCGTTCCATTAGTTAGCATCTTTATTGCCCTTCTTTTTGTTTCATTGATGTTATACAATTAAACTTTACCCAAAGATGTTTTTTTATGCATGTGTGCAAGAGTTCTTAATATTGTTTTCTAATGGTAATACATTTTGGTTTGTATTATTTGGAAAGCAATAGATTAGTCTAATTTAAGTATAGAACTCTAAAATTTATAGATTTTTGCATAAAAAATTATATTAAAATTGCTTCGTAACATTTTCATATATTTTTTATGTTACTACGAATACATATTTTTCATAAACACATATATGGATTATTTAAATAAATAATTTGTAAAATAGTGTATAGATAATTACTTTATACATGTCAAGTAAATTATTTTGATTTTTATCCAATGTCGCTTAGCTACAACAATTACCATATATAATAGAATATACAGTTATTCTAGTTGTCAATTATAAAATTTCTTTCTACTACATTATATTACAAGTAAAATAAAGAAAATTTATATTAAATTGAATGCGTAAACTGTACAAGTCATTATGTTTTAAAAGTATTTATAAATTAACTTCATAAAATTTAATTTATAAATATGCACTATTGCATTCTAACTATTGTTACAATAATAATTTATGTTCTGCCATATTAAAATTATATTATATTTTTTAATGCCATAATAAAAAAAAAATACATTGTTTTATAACAAGTTTATAGAAAGCATATGTGTATAATATGTATAAACTTCTTTATTCGGGACTATCACTTGTATAATGTTGATTCCATTTTCTCACATTATATATTTATAACATTTCTCATCATATTTTATTTATATATTAATTTATTTATTGTTTATATTTATTGTTTAAATATATTCACATGGAAATTTTGTTCAATTTATATTTCAATTTATATTCAAGTAGTAAGACTTTTATATTTTTGGTTTATTAAGTAAATGTACTTTATTATATTAATTTTTCTTTTTTTAAAAAATTGTAATTATAAATAATAGTAAAAAGAGAAAAATTTTCTTTTAAATTTGAGGAATAATGAAGAATAAGCTAATTATGTTTGATAAATGTAAAAAAAGAAAATTAAAGCAAATATTGCGATAAAATCAATTTTATTTTTATAGATATTTATATTTCAAAATCTACCGTACGAGCGAGCTTTATATATTTCCGCGATTTATATTTTAGATGATATATAAAGCTTAGTAATGGGTGCATTTAAAGCTTATACAAAATTTTAATTTACATTTGTTTCTAAATTTTTGTTTTCCAAAAAATTACATTAGTTTAAAAATATCTAATTTAAAAAAAAAAAATCGAAATAAAAATAAGAAAATTATATCATATAATTAAAAAGAGTTATTATAAATTCTAATTTAATAAAAAAATATTTAATGATTGTATTCAATTTATATTGGAAATTATTTTTAATAAATTCAACAAAATTTTGTATTTGAATGTAATTTTAATGAAATTTTATATGAACAATCGAATTGAATTGAATTAAAAAAATATAAAATATAAATATTTTATTTTTATTCAAATGATGTATTAGCACGTTTGTTAGTGTATATGTCAATATTATTAATAGTATTTTAAGAGTTGTTATGAATGCTTATTATAATTTAATAGTAATTTATATAAAAAAAAATAAGAAAAATAGTTAATTATAAAATTGAGACAATAAAATAAAATAAAAACTATTCTCTATATTTTGTATTAGTCAGAAGAGTTATTTTGATGAATACATTATTTGAACCATAATGGTGTAGTTTATAATGAATTACAGTTTGATAAAGGAGGCTTGCGTACACGTATTCCTTTGTATTCATCTATTCATACACGCATACATATAAATATAATGTTTTTGTATGCACGTGTGTATTATAATCTATTATACATAAACGCTGAATGCAACAATTATATCTTATGTATATTTTCAAATATTTCACTTTCGATATACTTTCATATTATGTTGGAATCTAGAAAAGACTTAACTTTTAGTATTGAAATTTTATTTCACATTTTAACGATCGTGTAATATATTATATTAGTTTTCATGATATTTTTTAGATTTTCTGATATAATCTAATATAAGTTACGTGCTTCCCATTGAATGATTACAAAAGTTCTGTTTTTATACAACAGGCAGAGCAATTTTAAAGTTATAGCTGTCATGACATGTTATGACTCTGATATGCAAATATATTATAATAACACAAACTAATTTTAGTGGTCATAAAAGAAAATTTTGTTGGACAGCCATTGTTTATATTATATCATTGATAATGATTGATTATCAATATTGTTCATTCAAATGTTAATTTTCGTTGTGGAATTTGAAGTTACGTTTATAATGTACGTATTACATAATTTCTAATATATTGTTCTATCGAAATGCCTGTTCGATCTATAGTTTTATCTTTTTTATATTTTATTTTCATCATTTTTAATAGAAAATATTGTAAATAATAATGTTATATATATATATTTATTTATTTATTATATTTGTATGTTACTCTAGAATAATATTGAATATAACTAATCTAAAAATAAGTAATATAGATGAATGCTTAATGTATTTTTTTTAATTTCTCTATTTTGATAAATTTTTGTATTAGTAATTATTAAAAATATATAAGCTTTTCTGTATTACCAGAAACTTAGTATTTATATCGAAATTGAAAATTTACAAAAATGACGGATAAATAACTTCTTTTATTTTATTTAGACAATGAATTTTAAGGTGAATAAAATGGAATAATTTCAATAGTAACTGTATTCAAATAGATCCATTCATCAATAATACTGTAGAATTTCTTTTTAAAGCAAATTAATTACTTTCGATAGTGAAGTCAAATTTGACGAGAGAAAAATTATGCAATATAAGGCAGAGAGGACAGCTATAGCTTACCATTTAATTTATTCGAGATGTATAGAAACATGGGTTGAAAAAAGAATACGTCATCGAGCTCATCTTGGGTTATAGTCGTGTGCGTTGGCGATGGACGTTGCCACCAGTGATGAGGATAGAAGAGAAAGAAAGGCTAATGTGCTCACGTATTACGGCCGTTCGAAGAATGACACGAAGGTCCGGCTTTCCTTCCATCAGCTACAAAGGGGGAAAAGAAAGAGAAAGCGAGCGCGTTAAAGCTGTGCCGGGAACCTTGTGATTGCAAGCCGTGAAGATGATTGACCCCGTTGAAAGGGTTGCGAAAAAGTGGAGAAAGGCAGACAGCCACGATGCTGAGCGGAAGTGTGTGTGCGAGTGAAGAGACATTACAGAGAAAGGAAAGCACGTTGAGCCTCAAGCGGCTGAAGCGAAAGAAAGACAAATTTTCCGTCAACATTGCCTTCAAGGACGTAAACTTTTGTATACAATAAGCTTATGCAGATATATAGTATCAGTAATACATTCAGATGTATAAAGTCTGTATAAGGATTTGTAAAACATCCATGGATTGTCCTAGATTAGCCGGAGGTTAGAGTGTTTTATGTGTATTTGTTCTTTTTTCTTATTGCAAAAAGTAAATCCTTTGATAAGATATATAAATTCCTAAAGAATAAATAATATTTGGGAAAGTACACTGGAAAATAATTCATATAAAAAGAATGTAAGATCTGTTTGCCGTTTCGAAATATATACATTTGACAGATTATTAATATTACTGTATATTCACAGAGTTTCTTTTCACATAAGAATGGATTTTAAATTTGAAAAATCTTTACAATCTGACTTGCCAAAACTTTGGAATTTTAAATAATTTGAATTTTATTCTAAAAAGCAATATATTTAGAATGCCAATAATGTTACATAAACATATCTATTGAGAATTCTTATTGCAAACGGACTCCATAGCAGAGCTTAATTCGAGTCAATTAAAGTAGATTTCATTATTCCATAAATTGGCTTACATCTTTAAATATATATATATATATATATATAATTTTCAACAGGTTACCTGACTCCAAAGTTAATTTAATTAAAGTAAT